ATTCCTTTTTAAAATTTTTTTTTCAGATGTCAATTCTATCCTTTCCGGGCAGTTTTCATGGACGCTCCATTGGTAATGTACACTTTTCTTCTGCAATAATTGTATGTATGAATGACTGTACACCCTGGATTTGAGTCTTGGAAATTCTTTAATAAACTAAAACTTTTCAAAATAATTAAAAACTAGATTATACCTTATACCAGGGTGTTTGAGTGTGACGCATTCTAAAGCTATTCATCTTGTGGATATTCCTCTGATGGGTTGGCCAACTTCAGAATATCCTAGATATAAATATCCATTAGCACAAAATGAAAGGTACAGGTTGAAATCAAATATGAAATTAGTTCCTCATTGTCATTGATTTATATCTAGAGAACATTTTTCTGAACGAAGGTGTCGTTAAGATTATATTTTTCAGAAAAATAAAAAACGATTGTTTTTGAAACAATTTTGATCGTTCTCGAACGATTTTAAATCGTTTGTTCAAAGGAACTTGAACGAAGGATTTTACTGAATGATCGTTGAGTGAGAAAACGAAGGAAATAAATGGACAATGAGAAATAATTTTGGAAAAACTATCTAATTGGTTTATTTTCATACACAGATTTTAAACCGCTCTACTTTTGATTTATTTATTACAATACAATGGAAACCGATATTTAGCGGAGTTATTGTTTTATTTGTAAACAGAATAGAAAATTATATTACAACTAAAACTGAAAGCTAGTCTTTAACATTTTTATTCATTCATCAATTTTAACAACGGTCACAATGGTATTAAGCCTTTGCCCAGCTCAAATCTACTACTCAACTTGATAAACCTTTGATAACTCAAACTAAGATTATTTGATTTAACAGTATTCATATAGTTGGAAATATCTAAGGTCTACGACATAGGATTGCAAAGATTTATGGATTAGAAAATACGAAATTGGGGCAAAGGCTCAATTCCTTTAAAAATTCCTTTACAAAATATATGTAAAGGGTTCCTTACGCAATCTATGTACAGGGTTACTCACAAAGGATGATACTGCAGAGACGACAGAACGGAATTTATTCTATCTTTCTTCTTGGTTCTCTTGAAACTGTAAACTTTTTTCTTTCATCGTCAAATCATCAAGTATTATAGTATATCATTTCATAAATATATACATGTGGTTTCTAGCCTTCAGATAGTTATTTATATATAGAGCTGTATAAGAATTAATTAGCGGCGTCATGTGCCAAATTGTACCTTTTTTGCGTTTCTGAACTTTTGATTTTGAGAAATGTTTCTCGGATTTTAAAAGGCCATAAGAGGACCCCAAAAAAAAATTGAAAAAATACTATCCAGGAGAGTTGCACAAAAAAGATACACCTTTGCACCAGACGCCACTAATCACACCTTTTTTTTACTCACCCTGTATATATATTGATTTATATTGAGGTATTATTGTCGAACCTGTACAAGCCGAGGGGGGAGATCATCATGGGTCAGCTCAATGGTTTCAAGGTCTACAGGTTAGATGTGGGGCACACGTTAGGAATAGCAACCTCGAACCTCATTCCATTCCCGCTGTTCAAAGCCAATGGGTCTAACTCTAAACCTAAATCAATTTTCCTCGGGCCTTTTTTTCTTAAGGCAACACCTTTATAAGCTGTAACTAGTTCCTAAATATGTTCATTTCCTAAGTTGGAAAAATTTTCTTTTATTAAATTATTAATATTATTATTGAACTATTAAAGTTTTTTAAAATAATGATATCTTTTTCCTGAGAGTGTAATCCTTTCAATTAATTAAAAACAATATTAAAAATAATCTTCTTAAAATATTTTCGTTTAAAGATATGTTTATAGTTTTGAAAATGATATATTTCTGTTTACACTGACCAGCCATAAATCAACCAGACTGCGCTGAAGGGTTGAATCAATTGTAAAGCCTGGGTCGAATTTGAAGTTTCTCATCGGCTTGGTCTTTGATTTTACCTCACTTTCTGGCTTGTAATTTTTCATACGGTGGTAAGCTATTATGTCACTACAATAAAGACGACTTTTCATTTAAGTTTTGATTGTTAACAAGCTTTCTTCGAATTTCAAGTTTACAAATAATCAAAGAGAAGCATTTTAAGTTGATAAATTCTCTTGACTTCTATAGTTTTGTGGATCCATGCTATTTAACACCTTAATTTACATCAAAATTGAATTCAAAAGTCGTCTTCATTGTATTGATATAATCGCCTACCACTGTAGCTTAGACATAAACATTTTAGAACTATATAGAACGTTTTAAGCTGAATTTGATAAAAAAATTATTTGGCAAAATTAGTCAAGGGTTACGAAAGTTATTATTAAACAAGCCAAAAAAAGGGACAATTAGTATTTTTAGGATATTTGCTCCACACATGGAATCCGTCTTCTGATAGATGAAGTACAAACTGGAGGAGGAGCTACAGGAACAATATTCATAATTTCATAATTTTATTATTTCATAATTTCACATCATTTTGTTGATGATCAGGGTGTCTTACAAAACATAATCGACGTGAAGATCGTCTGTGATCGACTTGAAGATCGTCTGTGATCGACTATTGAAGTATTTAGCGGCATTAATCGATACTCGGTTGACTAATTTTAGAAATAAAATTCTCAAATCAATGTTTACCAAATAATGACGTAATGAATTAAGGAACAAAAAAGGTTTACCATATTTTGGAAATGTCAGAACTAGCAGAATTCTGTGATTATTGCATTTTATGATTTATATGATTACTGCCGCAAATTATTTCAAAGATCAAAGACAATGTTCAAGCTGTGTTAACACCTTGTACAAGAACCTGATATTGTTGTACATGAACCTAATATTGTTGTACATGAACCAGATATTGTTGTACATGAACCTGATATCGATGTACATTTACCTGAGATTGTTGTTCACGATCCTGGTATTGTTGTACATAAAACTGATATTGTTGTACATGAATCTAATATTGTTGTACATGAACCTGATATTGTTGTACATGAATCTAATGTTATTGTACATGAACGTGATATTGTTGTACATAAATCTAATATTGTTGTACATGCACCTGATATTGTTGTACATTAACCTGATATTGTTGTACATGAACCCGATTTTGCTGTACATGTACCTAATATTGTACATGAAGGTAAGATGTGGTGTCACGAGCACTATAACCTGAAGGATGTCCCCGATCTCGTCACATACTCAAAGAAGATGCTTGCAGGAGGAATTTATCATAAAGTAAAATATTCTTATAAGGAATTGTAGACGTCATTGACCCTAATTGGCCCTCCCTTTGTACAGAGTTGCATGTCTGATGGATAACAGTATCCTAATAACCTTCGATTGATTATTATTTATCGCTAAAAATTGTTAATAAATTAGTTTACAAGATTCAAGATATCATAATATTTACTTTCCATAAAACGCAGACAATAAATATCCTTAATATTCGAACCATTAGGGAACCGCGATGAACGGATGAACATAGAAATATATGTACCGTCAGCATTTACACAATTAAAACACCATTTTCTACCGTCAATGATCAGTCACAATTGTTAAAAGGGTAGAGTAGTAAATCAGGCACTCGTCTATTTACACAGAGGGTCTTTTAAAGTTTTACACACAGTCCCGTTTAACACTAGCGATTAGTTGATTGAAGGGATCATTTATTGATTGATTAATCGATTGGTTGATTGATTGATTGATTAATTGATAGAAAACTTCAGAAAGGTATTTTTTTTCAAATACTTCTTTCATTTAGTTTAATTATCATCATTTTATAAATACTTTAAAATGCGAAAGATTAAAATTAACCTAAAACCGTGATCATGGCATTATTGCTCGGCAATTGATCGTCTTTTTTATCTTTTAATCATGAAATGTTTATATGAATCTCGTAATTAGTATTTGATTTATTTCTAAATGAGTGCCCTAGCTGGATATCAAGTTTTTATCGAACTTTAGATGGATAATTTAAATAAAGGGATCAATCGCTTATCTCTGAAATATGAAATTAGTTATGAGGGATATCGAGATCAAGCCCCATTTCATCCTGATTTCTGAAATATATTAGAACAATTAAATATTTTAGAAAGAACAATGAAGATAATTATTTTTCTTCCCCTAGGTTTAGAAGAACTTTGTTCCGTGTTCCCTGGCGTGTTTGCTAATGCAAGGTAAATCAGATATTTACTAGACTTCTTCATTTTCGTGACTCGTGAGTCAAATATCTCAATATATAATACCACAGTCGTCTAATGTATTTTCATGAAAACAAATAGACTGACAATACATTATGTGTGTTTGCAGTTATTATAAAAGTAAATAGCTCAAAAATCAAACTGAATTGGGGCTGCGTAGTAGTGTACACTGCACAATTATTGGATTGAGTCGTAGTGTCGTCTTCCTATTCCACATTTTTATGGGCCCTCACTGCACTAAACATCCTGATTTAAACTATTTTCTAGGGGTAAAGGAACACTGTGTGCTGTGGACTGTGGATCTTCTCAAATAAGGAAAATTCAGATAAAAATTTACAGAAATAACATATTCATTTTTGAAGAACTAGGCTTTTAGCGCGCTTTGCGCCCATCTTCTTTTTCAACTTTTAATTGTGGCTTTATCCGTGAGCATCTTCTCTTTTTACAGTATAAAAAAGGGTTGCGGATTTCATATTATTTTTTGGCGCATTTTCAAAATTTTAAAAAATTAAAAGACATTTAAACACTAATTTTTGAACTTTGAATCATTCATAAACCTTCCCTGGGGTTACGCGAGCTGCAACACACAATTTGGGGCCGATCGGTTCAGCCGTTTTGACGTTTATTGGATACAAACAAACAAACAAACAAACAGACAAGCTAAATTTATATGTTATATATGTACGATTTTTTTACTACATAAATGTCTTCAATTATATTCCATTCGAGATGTTAAACGTTTTTTGATTGATCCAATTATAAAATTTGTCATTGCAGAAGAATTATCTGATTTCTCTCAGGGATAAACTAATTGCCAGTCTGAGAAAACAAGGTGTTCATCTCGGTGTCTGCGGGGAAACAACTGTAAGGTAAATATATGGGAGGCTGACTGTCATAGTCGTTTATATATTGATTTTGGTAGCTGGCTGTGCGAACGACCGTGTGTTTGAACAATTTAATGTTCAATCGGCAATCGCCTGCTGGTTTCAAAGTCAAGCCCCCTAGTTGCACGTACATCCCTCTGGTTTCACGTTTAACCCCCTGGTTGCACGTTCAACCTTGTTGCATGGCCAAACCTTTTGTTACATGTTAAACGGTCTGGTTGCACTTTCAACCCTCTGTGTGCACGCTCAACCCTTGGTCTGGATCTACGTTCAACGGCCTGGTTGCAAATTCAACCGTCTTGTTGCACGTTCAACCACCTGGTTGCACATTTCACCCCCTGGTTGCACCTTCAACACTTGCTTGCACAGTCAACCACCTGGTTACACATTCAACCGCCTGGTTGCAGGTTCAACCGTCTTGTTGCACGTTCAACCGCCTGGTTGCACGTCCAACCTCCTGGTTGTACGGTCAATCCCCTGGTCTGGCTGTTTGTTAAACTCCCTGGTTGTATTTTTTTTTCGCTTACTGTTCGTAAAACCAATTGTTTGTTATGCAAAAGTTTCGCATTTTTTCGAAAACAGATTAATGCGAAATTTTGCGAAAAAGCGAAAATCATCTTCATGAATTTCCGCATTGTTATCGCTTCCTTTCGCAAAATTCAATTTCTGAAAAAAATTTCGTACAGTGAAACCATTAATAACGAATACAACGAAAGAATTTATCAAATGTCGCCTTGACAATTTTTCAATGAGTTTTATACTATATTACGTAAATTTCAGTCTTTGCGAAAATAAATAAATAGCCATGAATATGCGGGAATAGTTTTAAAGTGTTCCATATAATCATTTAATTAAAAAAATAAATATCTGCAACATTCAATATCAGAAAGGGAAGAATACGACATTTGATGAATTCTTTCAATGTATTCGTTATTAAGGGTTTCACTGTATTTTTTCGCGAAAGTTTTCTTCCGCTGAAAACCCTGCCTAACCAGAGCTGACCAACTTGTTGTTTTTAATACTTTTTTAGATTCCGTCCTACGCTGACCTTTGATGACCAACATCTAGAAATTCTTCTCCCTGCTCTTCATCATTCTGCCAAACAAATAGACTCAGCTTAATAAATTATAATTTGTAAATCATAAGAAAAAAGACAACCTAAATTTTGTTGAAGAATTGTTTCATTTAGTTTGTTAAAAATAAAATATTCGACGCATGCACGTCAGACTGAGACCTAGATAAGTTGATTAACTGTATATAGGACGTCAGACACCTGTGTGGAAGGGTTAAACTAAACTTTTAAATGAAAAATTTGAATGTTTAAATAAGAAATTTGTATCGTTCTTGAAAAATAGTGAGAAATAGGATGGCTTACCATGTGGTTTAAGAGAAGGATAAGATGGTTTACCATGGTTTAAGAGAAGGATGGTTTACCATGGTTTAAGAGGGGGATAGGATGGTTTACCATGGTTTAAGAAATGGGTTTGGATGGTTTACCATGGTTTAAGAGAAGGAGAGGATAGTTTACCATGGTTTAAGAGAAGGATGAGATGATTTACCATGGTTTAAGAGAAGGATAAGATGGTTTACCATGGTTTAAGAGAAGGATAAGATGGTTTACCATGGTTTAGGAGAAGAATAAGATGGTTTATCATGGTTTAAGAGAAGGATAAGATGGTTTAGAAGAAGAAGGAATGTGTACGCTCTGTACACTTTTATATGACATCATTGGCTGCAGTATTGGTTTTAATTTTTAAATTCTAACAATCAACATTAAAACTCTAGTTTTAAGTAGCCAAATTTTTTTAACTAATTACATTGCAATCTGTTTTAAGATAAAGTTTATCTAAAAAGATATTAAAGTTTCGTGCCAAAATCCGAAACAGATTGTCCAGTGAGGGAGGGGGTCCAGAGTTCCTTAAATAATAATCACCGCCACCCAAATCTGTTTTGCGGCAAGCGCACGCCTCAATTGGTAATCTCCAACACCTCAATTTCTATAAAAATTATGAACTTTTGAATTATTCAAATCGTTAAATTAATTTTTCAACATTATGAAAATAGAAATAATTGCTCATTCAAGAAATAGATGTAATAATTTGTGATACACTTGTAATTTTTCAATTTACGAGTATGGGAATTTTTAAATACAGGGTGTCCCACGAAACATGACAGTTGATAAATAGTTTTGAATGTCGTCTTCCATACATTGTATTAGATATTAAAGGCTGTTTGCAGTTTATTTCGTTTAAAAAATCTTTTGCTCTAGTAAATTTTACTTTGAAATTAATGTTACTATAATATGACTCCTAAATAATATTTTTATTATTGTCTTTCGTATTAAAAAACTTATCAAATTATGGAAGAAGACATTCTAAACTATTTATACCAACTGTCATGTTTCGTGGGACACCCTGTATATATAAGTTATGAACTCGGAAATTGTTCAAATCTTATACACAAACTGAAACAAACAATAATCTTGTAGCGAATATGGCCTATGTAGCGTTTTTATAGCGTAGCGTTTTTAAAGTGTAGCGTTTTCATAGGGTAGCGTATGTATAGTATGACCAGATTAAAGACCGTATTCAATAGCAAAGGTCACTATATACACACCAAGGTCTGTACTCTCCAGCTTCCAAGGATCCTATAATTCAAGGATAGATGATGAAGATTAGAAACCGGCGTATTGAATAAAATTGGTAAAAGAAGTCTACAATAAGATGAATACAGCGGATGAAGAAACAGAAACTCTTCTCTATATCTATCCTTTAACTACAAAGTACTTGCAAAGACGCCCAGCCCTGCAGAGTGCAGGTCACAGAATACGTAGTGTTACAGTGTGTTATCTTTGCAGCTTAAAGCCAGGGCTAGCATTTTAGGCATATAGTGGAATATCATTCATATTGTTTATCAGTTGTCTTTACACTCCTCTATCACTTAGTTCTTATAGAAAACTTAGCCAAGGTTTATTTTCTTGTTCTCTTGAAGGTTTATCTTCTTGTTCTTTTGAAGATTTATCTTCTTGTTCTCTTCAAGGTTTATCTTCTTGCTCTCTTGAAGGTTTATCTCCTTGTTCTCTTGAAGGTTTATCTCCTTGTTCTCTTGAAGGTTTATCTTTTTGTTCTCTTGAAGGTTTATCTTCTTGTTCTCTTGAAGGTTTATCTCCTTGTTCTCTTGAAGGTGTATCTTCTTGTTCTCTTCAAGGTTTATCTTCTTGTTCTCTTGAAGGTTTATCCTCTTGTTCTCTTGAAGGTTAATCTTTTTGTTCTCTTAAAGGTTTAGCTTCTAGTTCTCTTGAAGGTTTATCTTCTTGTTCTCTTCAAGGTTTATCTTCTTGTTCTCTTGAAGGTTTATATATTCTTGTTCTCTTAAAGTTTTATCTTCTTGTTATCTTGAAGGTTTATCTTTAAAATGAAATGAAATTAATTATTTTCAGATTTTATATCTTCAAAATGGTTCAAGGAAGAAAGTGGGTTTTGAAAAGACATTTCTCCGGAGAACCTAAGCTTGATGATTTTGAACTGGTTGAGGAGGAACTGCCTGAACTCAAGGATGGAGAAATTATGTTTAGGTACAGTGGTCTACAGTGAGAAAATAATGGAATAGGAAGACGCATTAGACATTTAATAAATTAATAATTTTGTTACATGGGTCTGTTTTCACTGCACATTTGACTATTTAAAGCTAAATATTTATTAGAAAAGTCGTCTTTCTATTTCAAGGTTGTCTGATTATCACTTTAAAATATTAACTGGAATTAGACCCTAGCTATTGGTAATTAAAGTGGACCAATTTGTATATAAACAAAATCAAATACACACAAGCTTCTTTAAATGTCGTCTTACTTTCCACAGTGTATTGGTATAAAATGAAAGTTTAAACATTCAATTTAGAAATTTAAACTGTTTTCTTTCTAAACTGTCAATTTTTTTATATTTTCAGGTCTCTGTTTATCAGCGTTGATCCTTACCAGAGACCATACAGTGCAAGGTAAGTCTTCATTACAATAATGGCATCTTTAACTTTCTACAGGGAATCCAAGATATATGAAAACATAGCAACAGTTTTTTATAATGTCGTATTCTCAACATATTTTAGATCAAATGCCGCGGAAAAAAACGATTTTATACTATATCAGTTGCTGTCCTGCGTACTTCAGGGCTATTAATTTAACTTGAATTCAAAATAAAAAGCAGTTTTTTACAAATTATCAAAAAGCCTATGACTCTACAATGATATTTGGATATATTTTCAAAAATGTATTCAACCCTTTGAAGTTGTGGTCATCTCAGCAGCTTTCTTTTTTTTGCACACCAATGATGAAGCATAAAGCTGTCATACATTTTAAAATAAATTTCAAGACGACATTTTATGCATTTTTGCTATGTGAGATTGGCCGGTTTACACAGAACTTTGGAGAAATCGAAAGAATTCATAAAATGTTGTCTTGACAATTTTTCAATAGGGGTTTATATTATTAATGGGACCTTATAGAGGACGTAAGTCAGACTCTAATAAAAACGCATAAATAACTTCCAGTATATATATTTCTTATAACTTATTACTAGAGGGTTCAGAACTAGAGTCAATATCGANACATATTTTGTAAAAAAATGCGTTGAAAATATTCTGAAGTTTGAATGTCAATAAAATTAATTGAAAATATAAAATTCTTAAATTTCTCAATCGAAAGATAAAAAATAATGACGACGATGCATCCAAAGTATTATAGCTACCACTGTGCTTTATCTTTATATTCTGGATTGGACTGTATGTCCCATAGATTAAATATTAAGGATTTTTTACCTTTTCAGGTTTTTTAATGTTGGAAATATCAAGTGAATTAATTAGATTTTAAGTGAAGACTTTATTTTCTTCTTTATTTATTTATTCTTAATTTTTCTCTTCAGAGTCTTTTGTTTTTGTTTTTTTAAAGGAAACGTATTCTCCAAGATAAAAACAATAGTTTTTTAATTATTTTTTTTTGTTGAAGTTTGAGAGATATTTGCCACGATTAAGAAATATAAGGTGAAACAAATGTCATTCAAATTATTAGTAAAATATTGACTTTCATGGTCAGGGCTCCGAGATTGTCCTTTACGCTGGTTGGGTGGAAAGAGGAGTTGTCAACCCTAATGAGCTTGCAAAGGAAATATTTCGGACATAAAAAAAATATTTCAAAAAAATAGAAAACCTTTATTTTTTTAAGACATCAGTTGTTTGAAAAAAAATTCTTCTATCACATCAACTGTTTTTTGTTTGTTATATTTCATGAATAATTAAATAATTTACTTAGTTACAAAACAAAAGTTTTCAACAAAATATCTCCCAAAATAAGGTTCCAACACTTGTGCCAAACAATATGTGATTAACTCCAATATTGTTGAAAACAGCGGAGTGTTGGACTTGGAGCTCCCTGGAAGTATCCTAAGGTGAAGGGTATATCTGCTAGCATGATGCTCGGCTCCTGCGGCATGCCAGGATGCACGGCATACTTCGGACTTCTGAGACTCTGTGAACCTAAGTAAAATAATTGTCTTTGTGTCAAAGAAATCTTTTTGACCATTTTAGATTAATGTAAGGGATGTTAGGTACTCTCCAGAAGGTATTCTCCAAACGGCAACTTTTCAAGGGTATTTTCCCTAGTGGCAAGTTCAAAAGACTGTCCTAGCCGCAACGTTTTGCCTCCACAAGCCTGTTTTAGCTGCAGCGCTTAGCCCAACCTTGCCACCGCGCTCGGGCCCTATTGCAGCCTGTGTCGCCTCAGAAAGCCTAGCCAAACCTTATGGAAGGTTGCCCTTGGGAAAATGCCTAAGGGAAAATACCTAACACGTGTACAGGTACTCTCTAAATAACTTAAAATACTACTTCATAAATATACATATAAATTGTATCCTGTATCCTGCATCCTGTATCCTGTATTCTGTATCCTGTATCCTGTATCCTGTATCCTGTATTCTGTATCATGTATCCTGTATCCTGTATCCTTTATTCTGTATCCTGTATCCTGTATCCTGTATCCTGTATCCTGTATCCTGTATCCTGTATCCTGTATCCTGTATCCTGTATCCTGTATCCTGTATCCTGTATCCTGTATCCTGTATCCTGTATCCTGTATCCTGTATCATGTATCATGTATCATGTATCATGTATCCTGTATAGGTCTGGAGAGACTGTAGTTGTATCCGGAGCTGCAGGTGCTGTAGGATCTATAGTGGGACAGATAGCGAAACTAAAAGGTTGCAAAGTCATTGGTTTCGCAGGAACTGAGGACAAGGTTAAATGGTTGAAACAAATTGGTTTTGATCATGCTTACAACTACAAGAAGACAACTGTAGAGGATGCTTTAAAGGTAGAATTTAAAAATCCTATTTTTTTTAACATATATTTTCAGCCAGCGACCCTAAGTGTATCTTATGTCTTAGGTCAGTTATGACGTAAATTAAATAGAAAACCATGTATTACTACATGTAAATAGAAAACTATGTATTAATACATGTAAATAGAAAACCATGTATTAATACATGTACATAGAAAACCATGTATTTCTACATGTAAATAGAAAACCATGTATTACTACATGTAAATAGAAAACCATGTATTACTACATGTAAATAGAAAACCATGTATTACTACATGTAAATAGAAAACCATGTATTACTACATGTAAATAGAAAACCATGTATTACTACATGTAAATAGAAAACCATGTATTAATACATGTAAATAGAAAACCATGTATTAATACATGTAAATAGAAAACCATGTATTAATACATGTAAATAGAAAATCAAGTATTAATTCATGTGTAAATAAATCCTGAAAATTATGATTTCCATATTTTCTTACCAGTAATCCAAAAATTTTAAATAACAGACAAGTTTTTTATATCAATTTTGAATTGGAATTATGAAAACCCAATTTTTGGAGTCTGCTCCCAATGTCGTGGATTACCATTATGTAAACCCAATTTTAGAAGTCTGCTCCCAATGGCGTGGATTGAAACCCAATTTTAGGAGCCTGCTCCCAATGGCGTGGATTGCAATTATGTAAACCCTATTTTAATAGTCTGCTCCCAATGGCGTGGATTGCAATTATGTAAACCCTATTTTAGGAGTCTGCACCCAATGGCGTGGATTGCAATTATGTAAACCCTATTTTAGGAGTCTGCACCCAATGGCGTGGATTGCAATTATGTAAACCCTATTTTAGGAGTCTGCTCCCAATGGCGTGGATTGCAATTATGTAAACCCTATTTTAAGACTCTGCTCCCAATGGCGTGGATTGCAATTATGTAAA